CAGCACACTCTCCCTTTCTTCTGTCTGGCAGTTTTCGGTCAACATTATTGTTCGTGGAGGGCGGTGGTATTTAGTCAGTCATTCTTATGACTGCATTGAGAGAAAGACCTGGAGATAACCGGTAGCTGGTAATGCCAAGGCACAGGGTGCTGCCAGGAGGCCCTGCGCAACCCACAGGGCACAGGACGGACCTTACAACACAGCAGCCCAGCCCCAGTGGCCTCAGTGTCTGGCTGTGTATCAACCGCTAACGGGCATTCAGATCGTTTCCAGAGGGGCCAGTTTCCTCTTTGCACAGCTCCAGGGCACACTGTGCTCCAAATCCTTTGCTAACTGACAGCCACTTCTGCAGAGCAGACCAGCATGTGGGGCTTCCTGGCCAACCGTGGGCACGTAACTTAACTCGAGTAGCTCTTGTTCGTGGTTCAGTGCAGCTGGGTCAGTACATACTTACCTGCAGTGCATGAGGCTCAGCAATACTTTGTATTTTCTGTCTCTCTGTCTCTGTCGCTCTGCCTCTCCCAGTCTTTCCCTGACACCCTCCTCTAACACACCTCCTCTAAGTACCTAGTTACACAGCCATGTATTTCGTTATGTTTTTTTCTGTCCCATAGTTTTCAGATATTGGATTATACACAGGTTCAGCTGCTGTGCACAGTAATTAGAGGTCGCATTTTGGGAAGGATAACTTGTCACTCAGGTCTCTTTGCACACCCATTTTCTCATCTCCTGCCATACAGCTGGCTTCTTGTACCCTGGTTCTGAACTCACTGGTCCAACCAACCTCAGATCAACACCCTTCCGCCCCGTTACATCTGTGCTGAACACATACAGACCATTTCTTACCATCAGATCCTAGATAACACAGCACAACTATTTACATAGCATTTACATTGCACGAGGTATGATAAATCATCTAGAGTTGATTTAAAGTCCTCAGGAGGATATGCACAGTTTCCATGCAAATTCATTCTTTTACATAAGGGATTTAAGAATCCAGGACTTTGGTGGCCAGGGAGAGGGGACCGGGAGCTGATCCACTGCAGTGCCAAGGAACAACTGTATTACCTGTTAGTTTTCCACAATATATTTCGCTCTAGGGATCAGATTATCCATCCTTGGAGCTCATGCTTGTGAACTATTTTCAAATTATGCAGCACAGTTGATTCCCCCAAGCAATGTTTTTTCTTCTAGTATATTGCTTAATTATAGAAAATAGAGCAGATGGAACCATGAGGGGAAAATTCAAGGAATTTCTATCTCAGGTCCATTGGTTCACAAACTTTGCTCCAGGGAACCATGCTATCAGTATTAATGTAGGACCAGCATGCTGATCATCAGACTCCTCTGCAGCTTACAGTACTCTGGGGTCAGACCCTGCCGCTGTATGTCATCATCTCCACCGGGCACTGCAGTGTTGAGCTGAAGTTTGCAAACCACTCGTCTGGCCCATCTTCCACCCCGAGCTCTAGAAACACAGCCCTGGCAGAGTACTTGTGGGAGTAAATATGATGTAACACAGTTGTCGAAAACATCCCCACCCCAAGGTTAAACAGTCCCCCCACGTGAGCTCACTGACGTGCTCCATCTTGAAATGTGAATTGGCCAGGACTTGTTTCAGGATTTATGGAATTATTTTTCATTTGCTAAGATGTCAGGCTCTTCCTGTTTCTAATTTCGGAATGTCTGCTGGAAGACTCCCTCACAAGAGTATCAGTGCGAGTGCTTAGACATGGGCCTATTTGAATACTGTGTGTACTATCATTTGTAAGTATTTGCTTACACCAGTCAGCATGCAGAAGGTGTTTCCATGGTATCTTTGCAGCATCAAAAGCAGGTGCAGCTCAGGGAGGTGATCCCATGCCCCGGGACAGTGGGATGTGCCGGCTGGGTCTCTGACATTATGCAGGTAAAACAAGCCGAAACCACTGTAGTGAGAGGGTTCTGGATCTAGATGGCAGCGTCTTCTGTTGCTAAGGAGATAAAAGGTGGAGAAAGTGTGCTGGGCCCCAGGAGGAGGACTCTCCCCAGGGAAGGTCACCGGAGGAGTCTCAGGCCTGGAAGGATGGTTGTTTTAGCTAAAGGTGTGCTTTGGAAATGCCCTGTTCCTCCTCCTTAGCATTAGGATCATTGCTGTTCGAAAAAGAAATCAAGTCACTATTGACAAATGATCTAGCCACCTAAGACAGAATTACCTCCTTGGCCATCTAAAGTGAGTTAGACGGCCCAAATCATCTGCTTATTCACATATTAAAAAAAACAAGCGCTCGTATTTTAATTTTCATTTTTGTTTTTATTAGTGCACATCAGCAAGTACACAATGATAATGTTCACCGTGGGGAGGTGGACAGGGATAGAACAGATAGAACATAGCTCAGTTTCCTGGTCTGTCCCTTGGAGATGCTGTCCTACCCCCTTGCTCCTGCCCTCCCTGTCTCCGTCCCCTCCCCATAGTCAATATTTTTTGTTTTTTGAGGTGGTCTCCGTGTGCAGTTCAGATTGGGCTGGAACTCACTATGTGGCTGAGGCCAGCTGGAGCTCACGGTGAGCCTCCTGCAGATGGTCCTCTCAACCTCCTTCCCAAGTTAAGGACAGTGGCTAATTGGCAGTGGAAAGCCAAGTCCCAGAGCAATTACACAAGTGTAATGAAGTGTGCTTTAGTGTCAGCAGGTAGGCAGAGGACAGATGCACGAGGGATGGTGGCCAGACATCTTGCAGCAGCGGCACGAGCTGCCAGAAGTGTTCCTGCACCCCGAGTTTCCGCTGTGGTCATCTGTCGCCAAGATTAACTCACTGTGTGGCCCAGGCTGGCCTCAACTGTGTGTGGTGATCCTCCTGCCTTAGCGTCCTGAGTGCTGACATTATAGGTGTGTGTGCCACCACACCCAGAAAAGACTATCCCTTCCTGTTATTTCAGAGCTAGGTTCTACCTGCATTCGAAGTTGGAAAAGTTTAAATGTACAGAATACAACGCTTCTGAATGTATTAAGGAGAAAGCCTTCCCCAGGGCCCCAGCAAGGGTAATTGTGTCTGGCCTGATTCAGGGGCTCACTCAGGAATCCCTGCTTCCAAAATGAGGGGAAAGAATCATCACTGGACTTCCGAGTGTCAACTTTGTCCTTGATTGTAGTTTTTCTTTTTTTTTAAATAAATAAATCAACTCTCAGCATCCCTTCTGGACAAGCAGTTTGTGTGTATGACCTGCAGACTCCAATATGATGTGTTGTTGTTGGTTTTTGCTTTTTGTTTTTGGTGGTTCTTTTTTTGAGACAGGGTCTCACTATGTGGCCCAAGCTGGCCTTGAATTTGCAGCAATCCTCCTGCCTCAGCCTCCCTGAGTGCTGGGATTCTAGGCATGTATCACCATACCTGGCCTACTAAGTGGTTTTTCTAAAAAGTTCTATAGAGATTTTAGAGGGGCAGGGATAGTGGACCCAAGAATGGGCAAAATCACTAAGAGGAAAAGCAGTTACATTTTTCTGGCAAATACTGCCATTCAGAGGAATGGATGGAACACAGAAGTACAGTGCAAGCTGCTATTTGGGCCGGTGCCTGTGCCCGGCACCATGAGGACTGTGTGGAAATCGGAGCCTCCGTCTCACTGACCACTTGTGAACAGATCTGTGACCCTCGTCAACTTATGTACCTGTACACTGAAGGCCTTGTCCAGCTGAAAATGTTTTAACTCTCATTCTGAGCCACAAGGCTTTGCCAAGAGAGATACAGAAATCACTCCGGGTTGTTCAGCAGTAGCAGACATAATAACACATAGAAGTATTATTTGGAAAAAGAGAAGCTTGGGATTGAATTTGCCTTTCTCGGGGACAGTCATTCCTTTTGGTCAATCCCTGATGACATTAAGAAGTGGATTGACTTAGCCAGTTGTGGTGGCACATACATCTAATTCCAGGCAAGAGGAGCCTGGATTTAAAACCCAGACTGAATTAGATTAGTCTACTTTTTTTTCCTACTTGGCCTAAAAATCCAAGAGTAGGTTACCAAGAGAGTATGGAAGGTACGTCACAAAAGGCCCTCAGAGACCTCTAGGCCACCCCAGAACTCAAGCAGCCAAAGGGAGTCATGGCATCTGCCTAACAAAGATCCCAAGGGTGGAGCAATCTCCGGAATGCAGTGGCTTATTGAGCATTTATTACATTTACAGCAAGACGGAAGGGAGCTCACCCAGCACACAAGGCCGCACCCTTCCATGACCAGAAGCTGGTGGCACTGCCAGGTGCTGGGTCTTTCTTAATCTCAGCAACACCATGATTACGTGGGCAGCACTGGAACTCAGGGCCATCGGAGGCCAGGGACTGAGCTGAGGAGCATCACAGGAGTTTGACACAAACAAATTCTGGTCATACAGGGGTGCACAAATAATACATGGGAATTCCATGGTGATAAAAACATCTTTTCTTTATGGTAAAAATAGGTTTTAGAAAATATAAATTTCTTAGCCAGGCATGGTGGTGCCTGCCTGTACTCCCAGCACTGGGGAGGCTGAGGCAGGAGGATCACTGGGAGTTGGAGGCCAGCCTGGGCTACATGGTGAGACCCTACCTCATAGCAGCAACCAACAGAGTCAAACCATGTGTATTTCTTTAGGAAACATGTCAGAGGAAAATAAATCGGAGGTTGAAGATGGACTTAAAAAGCGTGATGCCCCTGAGCCCACACAGCATCTTAGACTGGGGGGAGAGCGCTCGTTCCCAGCTTGTTGTAAACACACAGGAAGCCTGTCTCCAGGCATCCTGTTGCCTCCCCAGGGGAGGCGCCCTTTAGGGCCCCTACGTGAGCGTCTCTCGTGGCCTGGGCACGGGATCCTTTCTTGAAGCCTCCAGGGCAGAAGCTGTAGCTAAGGACCCAGCGACCCAACCCATGTGTGCAGGGGGGAGTGGGTGCCGGAAGAGAGAGGAGAGGGGCCGCACCCCTCCCCTGCAGAAGGCCGGGGCGGGCAGCTTGCTCCTTTTCCCTGTGGCCGCTGGAGTCCCCGGAGCCCGGAGCCCAGGCTGCGCTCTCTGGGGTCCGCGCCGGGAGCTGCGGAGGGGCGGGACCCGGCGCGCTGCGCCCCGTGACTCGCAGGAAGCCGGGCGCCCATCCCAGGTCTCTAAGCTCATTGCTCGGCTCTGCCTCGGCGACCACAGGAGGCGAGAAGTGAAAGAGAGAAAGAGCCGCCGGGAAATTAAACCTGCAGCGCACGGCCACGAATTCCCCCCAGTCGGAGCCAGCAGCTGGGAGATGCAAACAAGGAGGCAGAGGGAGGAGGAGGAGAAGGCTGGCGCAGCAGCCGCCCCGGCGTTTAGACAAAGGAGGCTGCCGATCGGCTTCTAAGCTCTGCCCCAGGACCGAAGCTGCAGCTCTGGTCTCGGGATGAAGCCCACTATGCCCAGAGCGGCCTTCGGGGCGCAGGGGTGACTGAGCCATGTCCCGCTGCAGCCTCCAGGACGAGGAGGAGGAGAGAGGACTTACAGACTGCCAGGCACTCGGACACCAGCCCTCTCCGAGGCATGCCTTCGTCCGTGCGTTACCTCTTCATAGTGACCGTGTCCACCGTCCTCGTTTTCATCGTGTTCTACATCTCCAACTTTGCGGGTGACCAAAGCCACCAGAGGCTGAACAGCTCGGATGCTCTGCTGCTGACTCAAGTCTGCGCGCCCTTCGCCAGGGACGGGAAAAGCCCATCGCTGTGGAGAAGCAGACTGGTCATCCCCGAGAACCATAACTGCGAGCAGTACCTGGGCCAGGGCCACTACATCACGGCCCCCTTGTCCCAAGCAGAGGCTGAATTCCCTTTGGCGTACATCATGGTCATCCATCACCACTTTGACACCTTTGCAAGACTCTTCCGGGCTATTTTCATGCCTCAAAATATCTACTGTGTGCACGTGGATGAGAAGGCGACTGCTGAATTCAAAGATGCGGTGGAACAGTTGCTGAGCTGCTTCCCCAACGCCTTCCTGGCCTCCAGGATGGAGCCGGTGGTCTACGGTGGGATTTCCAGGCTCCAGGCTGACCTGAACTGCCTGAGGGACCTGGTGGCCTCCAAGGTGCCCTGGAAGTATGTCCTCAACACCTGCGGGCAGGATTTCCCACTGAAGACCAACAAGGAGATAGTCCAGTACCTGAAGGGATTCAAAGGGAAGAACATCACCCCCGGGGTGCTGCCCCCAGCGCACGCGGTGGGGAGGACTAAGTTTGTGCACCGCGAGCACCTGGGCCAGGAGCACTCCTATGTGATTAGAACCTCGGCACTCAAGCCGCCGCCGCCCCACAACCTCACCATTTATTTTGGCTCAGCCTATGTCGCACTGTCCAAAGAGTTTGCCAGCTTTGTCCTCCGTGACCCGAAGGCTGTCAGTCTGCTCCAGTGGTCCAAAGACACTTTTAGTCCTGATGAGCATTTCTGGGTGACGCTCAATAGGATTCCAGGTATGTGAGATTCTGTCTTGTGCTGGAAGGAGGCACACGGGCCAGGGATCAACCAACCATGCATGGCACACAGCTGGACCTGTGCGGGATGCTGAATGGGTGCTGACTGTGTGTGTGTTTATTTTGGTGCAGTACTGGGGATTGACCTCAAGCCTGCTTTAGCACTAAACTGTGTCCTCACCTTTTTTTATTACTGTACCCCCACCCTGTTTTCTTTTGAGATAGCATCTCACTAAGTTGCCCAAGCTGGCTGCAAACATGATCCTCTTGCCTCTGACTCCCAGGTAACCAGCTGGGCTTGCAGACGTGTGCCACCATACCTGGCTGTACAGAACTTGCTGGTCTTCCCTAAACCACATCGTGCAGCACCCACCCACCTGGTACCTACGATGTGGGAGGTGTTCTAGGTCGTCTGGAGATGCCTGAAAGGTTGTGAGGGGATGTGGGTAGGTTGTCTCCGTCCTACAGAAGGAGCTCGAGGATCTTCAAATAGTGTCCTCCCAGTTGAGTCTTGGGCCCCATCCCGCAGGAGCACGGGTTATGTTGTATTGGAAGAAGTTGCCATTTTTTAAAAGTCAGAAGTATAGAATGACCACGTGCAAAAAATGTAGTTCTTGCCTTGGTGCTTTCTGACTGCAGAACATTCTCCCCGGGCTGGGTCACTCCAGAACAGCACCCCGTGTTTGATCCGTAGCTTATCACATCCTTTTGCCTGGATCCTCTTATTAGATCTTGGCCTGCACAGGTATTTCCATCTCTCGACCCACACCATGGTATCTGTCTCCCCCAGTCTGCGCCCAGCATCTTTGCCCAGCCACCCTTCTACCCACCCCTACAACCCCGCAGCCTCTCACTGTCCAGTCTCAGCTGTCAGTGGATGGCAGCACTGACCACCATCAACCAGTGTGCAGCCCCTTTAAAGATCAGATCACACAAGTCCTAGTGGCACATGCTTGTGATCCCAACACTCAGGAGGCTGAGGCAGGAGGCTTGCCACGAGTTCCAGGTCAGCCTGGGCTACATAGATAGTTCAAGGACAGCCTGAACTATATAGCAAGACCCTGCCTCAAAAAAGCCAGAGAGACAAACAAGAAGCCAATTGCCATCTGGAATGATTCTGTTTACTGATATTTGCATAGCTCTGTGGTTTGACATCCTCTCTATGAGCCCCGTGAAACTGAGGTCATGTTTTTATCTTGTCAATCGCTACTTCCCCAGCGCTGTGAAAACATAGTCTGTGCTCCATAAATACATACTAAATGGGCCAGTGAGGAGTAAGTAGCAAAACTGAGGCTTTACCACCACCCCACACCCGTCTCCCTAAGACCCAGGGTGATGAAAAATACTTGGATTCGTGCATGTATCGTGTAATATCTGTTCTTTAAAAAAAAAATAGGTGCCAGCCGGCATGGGGGCCCCATACCTGTAATCCCAGCAGCTGGGAGGTTGAGGCAGGAGGATTGCTGTGAGTTCAAGGCCAGCCTGGGTTACTCAGAAAACAAAAAGACAATATAATAAATAAATAAATAAGTAAATGTATGTGTGTTAGTTCAGATAAATGAGACCCCAGGAAAAACTTCTTTCTTTGTTATCAAAAATATTTTTTACCTTTACTAGTTTCTGAGATGGACCTTTTTTTTTTTTTTTTTTAAATATGGAAAGCGTGATAGGATTTCTTTGGAAAGAAGCAGCGTACTTTGAACTCAATGAGAAATACTGAGCGGGTCTTTAATGAACCAGACAGCATTACTGTAGCAGAAAAAAGCCATCATTGTTCTGGATGCTGGGGGGCTGCCAAGCTGGAAATGCTGGTGAGTGCTGGGGGCTAGGCAGGGCCTGTGATGACACACAGGCCCACGGCCTCTGGAAAATTCTGCCTTTGGTCCCAGGTGACCTGCCCGGCCAGCTGCCAGCTCCTCTGGTTTGCTAACTTTCCTCCCAATGTGGCCACCTTTGGAGGTAGTGTTTGGTATTTAGAAGCTGCCGTTCACGTTTAAATCTGTATTGTCTTTCTATTTCCACTGTTGCCTTCAAATTCTTTTGGGTTTGCTCCAGGCCACAAACTGCCTTAGGTGCTGCCAGGAAGGTATTTGTGTAATCCAGCCCAAGTCTGGCTTGTCACTTGGGGGGAGGGGGGAGAAGCCCAAGTTTTTGTTGGTGTTCAGAATAGTCAGGGGTTTCTATACTAGAGAATGTTCCCTTAGTCCTGAAAGATCAGTATAGGGAAATCAAGGGCAAAAGAAGCCTCCTCTTCTCCTTAACTACACTATCTCTGTCGTAGTTTTATCCAGTAGCCCTGATGGGAAACGAAGCCTGATGCCTAAAGCCAGGTACCTGTATTCCCAGCTAGTCTGGAGGCTGAAGCAGGACAATCTCTTGAGTCCAGGAGTTCAAGGACAGTCTGGGCCATGTAGAGAGTCCCCATCTTGAAATAAAAATAAAAAAGAAGGAAAGGGAGAGACGAGGAGAGCAGGACAGAGGAGAGGAGGGCGGGAAAGAAGGAAGCTGATTCCACCCAGGAGGGAGCGTGTTTCTGGCTGTAGGCTTGTGGCCCGGCATGTTGGCTTTCCCCACTCTCCAAAACAGTGTGACCCAAGATGGCAAGGAGCCCATGGATTCACACTCCGTCCCCAACCTCAGGGCAGGGTCCAGGGTGGGGGAAGCCCCTCCCTGCCCCCACTGGGCCTTTCTGTACAGAGGACACAGTGCCCAGAGCCTGCTGAGCCTCCGGAAGTTGCAGGACAGTCTCGGGAGGAAGCCAAGAGGGCTGTGGGCAGCCAGGGTGCCAGGCTGATTCATGGGGAAAGTGCCAGGACAATGTCTGTTTCCTGGGGTTCCCCCCTTTTCTCCCTTAGTTTCTTGTAACACCCTGGTTCCCAGAGAGAGGACATCCTGCTGGTAGGCGGGGCTTTCCTAGGGCCAAGGAAGCAGAGAGCAAATTATTCCTTGCCCTGTGTTTTGTTTCCAGAAGGCCCTTCTTTTTACTTGCTTTTTGTTTTCCGTGGTTTTGGGGTTTTTCCAAGGCGGGGTCTCACTGTGGAGTTCAGGATGGCCTTAACTCATTACATAGCCCAGCCTGACCTTGAGTTTGTGATGATCCTCCTGTCTCAGCCTCCCAAGTACTGGGATCACAGGTGGTACCACAGCACCTGGCGCCCAGATTGCCTTTGGTCCCTTCTGTTCCCTGTGTTCACACCACATAACAGACCTTTTAAAATGCGTGAGTACAAAGAGCCTTGTTCATCCCCCATCAGAGTTACCTTCTCCCTTGGGCAGGAAGGTCCCCAGCACCAGAGGTGCTGCTCAGCGAGCAGTAGGTGCTTGTCTAACACCAGGGAGGCCCTGGGCTCCTCCCTAGAGTGGAAAAAATAACAATAATAAAAATATCACGAGTTGAGATGCCACAAAAGTAGTCATATTCTATGATCTTATCCTCCTCCTATAAGTCTGGAAAAACTAAAATCCTCCTAGGCTGCTGTGGTTGTGTATTCCTGTACTTAGAGCATTCTGGGAGGCTGAAGCAGGAGGAACCCAAGTTCAAGCCCAGTCTGAGCAATTTAATAACTTAGTAAGATTTTGCCTCAAAAATAAAAAATAAAGAGGGGTGGGGATGTAGCCCACTGTGAAGGTCCTGGGTTCCCCAGGAATTAAAAATAATGTAAGTAGGCTTGGTGGCACACACCTGTAATGCCAGCACTCAGGAGGCTGAGGCAGGAGGATTGTTGCAAGTTTAAGACCAGCCTGGGCTACAGAGTGAGCTCAGAACCAGGCTGAACTGCACAGTGAGACTTTCAAAAGACCCCCCTCCTCGCAAAAAAAGGAACACTAGAAAAATACACAGGACAATTGCCAAACGCAGCAACTAAAAGAAAAGATAAATATCAGGTTAAAATCCTAAAGGCAATGAAAGCATGCTAGAACTGTCATATATCCTTTTAGAACATGCTAGAACACATTAAGACAATGATGGGAGACAGATAAGAACAAGATGAAACAGAATTAGGAAAGAATCTAGGAATGAAGAGATAAAACTTCAGACTGAAAGGAGGAGAGATGTAGTTGGGGGTAGAAAACTTTGTACCACTAAAAAAGAAATATTGCAAGGAGAGGCCACAAGATCTTTGGGGGAACCCCCCCCCCCAGCTCTTCTGCTTCTTGTCCAGCCCTTCTCAGGCTGGGGTCCCTGATATCCAGAGGTGGGAATTGAACCCAGGGTCTCCACGAGCAAGGTAAGAGTCCTGCCACCAAGCCAGACCCTCGGGGGCTGTGCTCTCCTCTTGTGACATTGTTGGCTTCCCCGAAGCCCCCGCGGAAGCCCCTGTGGTCCCCCACAATTCAGCTGTCTGCCTTCCCAGCAGCACCGGCTCTGGGGAGACAGGCTGCTTGGGCTTGGCCTTGGCTGGGTCCCTCATGGCCTCGGGCTGTGTGTCTGAATTTACCATCTGTCACTCTAGGGCTGAAGCTGTTTCCTGGCAAAGGACTGTTTTTCTTTGCCTCTCCCTTTCCCCTCCAGTGTATGTATTTTGAAGCCTCTTTGTCAACTTGGTTCCCTTGACCTCGGAAGGCACCGCTGTGGGTCACATTTCCTCATTTTTTTCGCATCTAAAAATAGTGCGTTTCCCACTTTGATTTATTTTGCTTTTTGAAGTGTCATTTTTTTATTTAGACGTGCACATTCTTAGGCAGGGTTTTTAGGACTTTTTAGGATTCCACGTGTCAGAAACTCAGTTCAGAATAACTGAAACAAACACCAGAACTTAGCAGCTCACATACTGAGGTGCCCAAATAAAGCTCGATCAAGGATGCAAACAGAATTAAGGACCCCTTCTTATTGAGTCCTCTCTAGGAGTGATCAGCCACGGCAGAAGGGAGCGTACTGAGCATGGGCTTCCACACTGGAACCAGTGAAGTCTCAGGCAAACCAGGGTGAGCTCACTTCCTGTCTCTGCTGCTTGCTGGCGTGGCTTCTTGTGGGCTGAGGCTCCCCACATGGTATGAGA